CCGAACGAAGAAAAACTCCATTGCGGAGAGGCAGAGAGCAGCGTTAAATTTTTAAACGAGTCCTTCCGCGAGGAAATTGTCTCCGGGTGCCGCGGAAGCCACGATCCCCCGATTCGCTGTTCAATCCTCCGCAGAGCGAGCCACCCGGAAGAAACTCGGCGCCGAGTTTGCCGGTCGGCTCGGCCGGAACCACTCCGGCCGCGAAACTCGATTTCCGCGCGGTAAACGCGATTACTAGATCCGCCGCGCGACCGGTTTCCAGGTGAGAAGAGGGTATCGCCCACCGCGTCGGGACCCGGAGAATTGTCGCGCGGCGCGCGTGCACGCCCAGGTTCATTGGCGACGTAACTACCGTCACCCGGCCATAATTTATAATACAGATGCTATGTACAGGTGTTAGGGGTGCGCGGGTACTCGACTGTTCAGGTCGGGCAAAAAATCGACCTGATTCGAGCTGGTGCCTAAAATATGCTTGTACCCAGGCTACCGGAAAATTTCGAGTGACCCAATATTTTCGAGCATTTCAGTATGAAGTGCTAGAATTTCAAGTACCTCGAGGTACCCGTTTTAATAGATATCACCTATAAAATATGCGAAATCTGGGTATCTTAAGATACCAGTATTTATAGATGCCAACTGTATTGCCTAAAATTTCAGGTACCTTAAGGTACCAATTTTTTATTGATATTATCTGCAAGATACCCGAAATTCGAATATTTTATACTAAGATATCCGAAAATGTCGTGTTATCCGAAAGCATTGCATACCCGAAAACAGATTGTCAGGGCACTCATGTTACAGGTACCCAGCCGTGTCCGCTGGAATTTCTGTGAGCCTGACTCGAGCCCGAAAACTAGAGTACCTGCTCACCTCTAACAGGTATCCGTGTATTTGCTCGTCGACGCTAATACCCGGCCTTCGAATGACACGCGAGTTAAATTACGACGTTCATCGTTGATCAATGAAAGTTTAGGCTCTCATTTCTTTGTCTTTTTTGTTTGAATAATTGTGGTTCACAATTATGTGAAGTGCTGGTGCCGTCGCTTTATCAAAGCATTCCTCCGATATGCTTTTTAGAGTTCACACGATCTTGGTTTCCTAGGTGGAACCACATCGTCTTTGATCGCTCAAACTATAGATCCGAACGCTTCAACATTCTTTGTTCCGCCGGAATTGGCTAAGAGATTCCGTCGTTGATAGGGAAATTGTTTCTCGCCGAGGCGACGTTGATGTTCCTTGAGAAAATTTCTTTTCTCTGGTCCAATGTTCTTGTTGAACTTGGGTGAACGTGTATCACGATTCGTCAGGTCTCTATTTCATTTCTCTAATACGTTTACTGTTTGTTTGGCGAAGTATAATCGACGTGATTCATCGATCAAGCTTGAAAATTGATTTTTATAATGGAATGTTGAGTAAATTGAAATTTGTTTAGGATTTTCAAAGTGCAGGAAGATTAGAAGAATAGTTCCTATGAGAGGTTTCAGCTTTTCAGTTTCTATTACATTAAGTTACTTTGATTTTGTAGCACTTTTATAGACAGTCAGCATGTTAAAAAGTTTGTCAGTGGACTTCGCATTTTTCCAGGCTAGTTCATAGAATTGCAGTTTAACAAAATTCGGTCTGCTCGAAAAGTTTCATGCCGATCTATATTCACGCTCTTTCAGAGTTTCCTACCGTTTAATGCACTTTCCAACAGGTGTCCCTTCTTCTGCAGTATCGGGCAATCAATAAAACGATTCACGTTGGATAATTTAGAGTGCACATGAACGACGCTTCTCGTGCTTAAAACGAATTTTAAATAATCGATCCTCCCTTGAACCGCTTTTCAATATCAAATATTAGAGAAATATTGTTTTCACTTACTTGACAGAAATTTTTGTAAAAACGGACCAGCCGAATTCAAAACTCTATACACGAGTACAACAGATGATTACTTCTCAACTCTTTGAATCTGTGAAACACTGCACCGCAGATGTACTGTTTTCCACGATAAACATATCCTCCAAAATCCATAAGAACAGCATGTTAAGCACCGTGGTCCTGTTCTAGTCGACAAACTAGAAAGTTCCATTTTCACGAAAATCAATAAAAACCTTCACGCGTCCCGTCTCCGTTTTATCAGTAAAGTTCCACGAGGCTCCGCGAGCCCCGGGACCAATTTATTTTATTTAATATCCGACTGTAAAGATTGATGCCCGAGTCCCGGATGAACGATAGCGTCAGCGTCGCGCGGGTTGCGTGGTGGCCGCGCGTATTAAAACCGAATAAAAATTTGCCGCGAACACCTCGTGCCACGATAAATCTAAATGCGGCGCGATTTATATTACCGCGAATCATAAAACTCGATAAACAATAAAAACGAATGAACCGTGGAAAAGTATCGTTTCACGGGTTAATCGGTCAACGAACCGACAGCGCGGTGTCGCGATGCCGAAATGGAGGTCCGGCAAACGTTGTAAAATCCTCGAGTCCTCGGAGCTTCAAAGATTAACCTTAACGGCTGACTGTTAAAGGCTTAGAGTTATATAGAGCTTGAGTCCTCGCAGCTTCAAAGTTTAACCTTAAAGGCTTAGAATCTTGGAGGCTCAGAGTTCTATAAACCTCAAGTCCTTGAAGCTTCAAAGATCAACCTTGAATATTGAGTACTGAGAACTTAGAGTTCTATTTAGCACAAATCTTCGAAGCTTCAAAGCTCAAGCCTAAAAGCTAAGCCTTTAAAGCTTCAACACTCAATCTTGAAGCTTTGAAAGCTCGATTTGAATATTAAGAGCCTACAACGTTCGAGTATTCATGCTTGAAGGCATTCAAATACTTAATACTTCTCTTGCTATATTACCGTCACATTGAAACCCTAAAGTTGAATATTCGAGGTGTCCGGGGTTAACAGTTTTGCGGTGTTAATATGCCAACAGTCGGTTCTAATCTTCGAGCTTGAAGATTGGACCATTGAAGTGTTCAATTTTTACAGTTCAATGCTTGAGCACTGAGAGCTTGAGCTGACGGCTACAGCTTTCAAGACTCTAGATTCAGGACTCAGTTTTACAACGCTTGGTCCAATGGAGTTCTCGTTCCAATCGGGTCGAAAGCAATTGAAATTCGTCAGAAATAATTAGCCGAATTGATCGGGCGCCTCCCGATGATGCGAATCGATAAACCAGGGGAGCCCGGCCCGAAAATTAGAACAGTGCGGGACGCGTTGCCGCGCGAACGCCGCCCGATTATTTCGACCGGGTCGGCTACAATAATTCCCGGTAATTGTTTTCAATCGCGGAACGTCCACGATCCCGAGCGTTAATCGGCTGGACGGGATTCGCGCGGGTTTTTCGTACGGTCCGATAATGACGCATAAATCTGGTCCATTCGCGAAAATTTTGATAATCATCTCGTCCTGAACATTAACGCTCCTCTTGAATACCTATCCCACGTTTCCCGTTCGACTTTTATTACATAATGTACCGTACATTGATGAGATATTCGCTGGGCTGCAAGCTAAACAGAAACAATAGTATGTCCGCGAGATTCTACGAACATAAGAAATCACTACTACGTGATACGATTGAAATGACTTTAATCGTATATGCTATTTCCTTGAAGATTTTGAATTAATGTTTTCGCGAATATCTCTATGAACGTGTCTATGGTTATGTATTGTTTGAAAGAGAAACAGAAATTCGCTTCGATTTCGAAGTTTCGGTGATGCAATTGACGATGTGGGTGTTATCAGTAAAACTGTGTTCTGTTCTGGTTACTGAATGAACGCAGACGACAATGAGGCTGTTGTAGTGCAATAAAAATTATTCGCGATCATATAAAAAATTCCTCATAATTCTAACGAACTCAAAGACTCGTTTCCTCGCGGTCATCACAAAAGCCAATAACACTTCTATCGGTAACCAGTAACAATAATGTGTCAAACCCGAGGTCTCATTGTTGCTATATCTTCCGACTCAAGTATCCTAAGTAAAGACATTTTACATTCCTCACATTCACCGAACATCTCATCAATGCACAGTAACCAACATTCCAAAACCACGAGAACGAGTTTCAAGTCGGTTAGCCACCGTTCCGCTCCCAGATCCTGCGGGGGCGCGAAACGCGAGTGATTAATCAACCAGTAACCCCGGATTCTTCACAGAAAACTTTCGTCATGGTTCGACGGCCACGCTCGGAGTCTTAGTCACCTCGATCTTCTAGTCGAGTCACGTTTTATTTCCCGGAGAGCGGATGTCTCACGCAACCGACTCACCCCTCGCCATTCAGAATTCGACCAATCGTAAAAGCGAACCGCGAGAACGGTCGTTCCACGCTTTTACGTCTCCCGTAAATCGGTTCCTCTCGATGAGTATTATCCGGCCTTATCCGTTCGCTTCGCGATGAAACGAGGCGTGCAGCCCGACTAGAGCTCGTTCGACGTGCCGCTACGATCCGCCGGTATTAGCGTCGACGTGTCATCTTAACTAAACTCCGTTCGACCGGTACACCGTCCCCGTTAGCTTTGGGACACGCGATCGTCTTGCCCGCTCCCGATCAGCCTGCTCCCGAATCTTGGCTTCTGCTCCGCATCGCATCGCGCCGCCGCCGAGGTATTATTCGAATCTGTCTCGTATTCACGACGGGCCGGCCGAAAACGTGCCGCGCTCGCTTCCGAGGACGACGACGATCGTTCCCCGGTTCTTGATCGCGATCGCCGCGCGATGGGAATCAGGTCGACCAACGGAATCGCGGGATCCGCAGAGTGAAAGCACGGGCAACTGAGTTCTCAGCGTGTTTTACGGGTTTAC